TCTGTCTCTTTTCATGCTGGAGATCAGACGACCATCCTGAGGTGAGCCGGCAGAGATCCGATGCCACTGGAAGACTTTAAATTACCAACCGACTCTGACTGTTGGATTTCTCACAGCTTGTGTACTTCTTCTTTGGCTCCAGTCCCAAAGCTTGACTGTACCCACTTCACACACACACACACACACACACACACACACACACACACACACACACACACACACACACACACACACACACACACACACACACACACACACACACACACACACACACACACACACACACACACACACAGACACACACTGACATCACAAACACACTACACCATGATAGGAGATTTACCGGTGCACTCTCAGAAGCTTAGCAAACCGTCTGAGCCTGACTTTGTGGCTTGTGCGGGAGCAAAGATCAGAACAGCACCGATCAGACACCGATCAGACACCTTATGGGTGTCCCTTTGGGCGACAGCAGCCAATCGCTGGGCTAGTGACCCCTTACATCAGGGGTGTCAAACTCAAGGCCCGGGGGCCAAATCCGGCCTGTGACTTCATTTTCTGTGGCCCCACAAGAGCTCGCAAAGAATATTATATGTTTATTATACGGTCACTTGATGAATTACAGAAGCATGTTGCCCATAAACTACATGTCCCACAATGCATCTCAAATTACACTTTTTTCTCAGAATTTGACTTTTTTTCTTCGAAATATGCCTTTTTTTCTTAGAATGTGCCCTTTTCTCAGAATGTAACTATTTTTTTTAAATGTCACTTCCTTTTTTTTAAATGTCACTTCTGTTTTTGACTTTTTTTACAGCTTTTCTTTTTAAATCATTTTGTGACATTCTCACTGAAGAGACTTGCAATGATATGCCGCAGACTTCTGCTTTCAGACGTAGTTAATTATGAAGTTATTACCCTATCCAATAATAATCCAATGCTGAGGCAATAATGTAATATAATACATTATTTTATATATTTATATATAAGTTACAACCAGCCCTTTGAGTGCAGCCATAATGCTGATGTGGCCCGCGATTAAATTGAGTTTGACACCCCTGCCTTACATGATTAATTTTACATTTGGCCAAACATAAACATTCTTAATTTCAGGAGAGATAGATGAGACCATTGATGCCACTGTAATGCCTGTCCATTATAGATAATAATAATAAACTTTATTTATATAGCACCTTTCATACTTGACGCTGCCCAAAGTGCTTTACAGAGTATGACAGAAAATGACAATAACAAGTGGGGAACATTATGAAAAAACAAGGTATAAACAGAAAGAGTCATATCACTGAACCATAAAACAATAAAACAATAAAACATGAACAGTGATAATACTAAACAAATTACAATTGCCCCAAATGATAAGCCAAATTAAAAAGATAGGTCTTTAATGTACTTTTCCAATTGAGGTTGCTGATCAAATGGGAGTTCCCATATTGTAATGCAGTCTAGGTACTTCTAAAACTATAATAAATACAGCCATCAGGTGGTTAGCTTAGCTTAGCATAAAAGACTAAGCAGAAGCTCCTGAGAATATGAAACAGTATGTAACATAACAACACAAAATATATCACCTTGTGCAAATTAGTATGTTTTTTTTTTTTTTTAAATACTAAATCGCAATGTTTGATCAAAGTCCAGATTGTGATTGTTGGCTATAATCACTTATTTTATTGCTTAAGTGCAAGCAAAGGATATCTTGGTTTGGTCTTCGGCTGCAGGCTCTAGACTCTGTGGTGTGATGAGGTTTAGCCAACGTTACAAAGTGAAGCGTCAGAAGCGATGTGGTTCCTTGACAAAAAAACGACACTTTTTTCAGTTTTTTTCTTGTAATAGTGGCACTTTGATCATAGAGGATGTTTTGTGGCATTTTCCTAATCATTAAACTTTTGATTTTTATTACAGATTCTGTCACATTAATGTAACACATTCAAAAGTACAATACTTGTGTAATTTAGTGCATAAAATGGAAATGGAAATACTAGAGTAAAAATGCCTGCATCTTAAAATTATTATTGAGTAAATACACTTAGTTACGTTCTACCATTGTCTCTTGCTCCATAAAATACAATATAACTTACAACAACATTTACTTTAACCTTATTAACCTTTCCATTTATATGAGCTATTCAGAACCTTTAAGTGTTTCAGTAAGCACAAGAACCGAAGAAAAGATAACTTCTACTGTTTTTAAACTTTTTAAAACAAGAAGACTTGAAACATTATGAAAATCTACCATATATTAATAATAGGTAGTGAAAGGTTTTGAGTTTTAATGAACAAATAATTACAAATATTTCTATAAACTGAACAAAGTTGGCAGTGAGTTTTAGATGTCTTGTGTCTGCAGATAGAAGTGCAGCTTTAAATAAATCAAACAAAAAAATGTTATTGTAAAAGATAACATAAGAAAATGTAGCTGGTTTTGCTTTGGGTCACCGATAAGAATTCATTTAGTTTTATAAGAAAACATCGTTGTCCCTCTTTCACACGGTGGTGAAACTTGTGTTTTTTCTCATAACTCTCCAGACTTCACGCTCATCAAAGTTAAAGTTAGACTGGGAGTGTGAATTGCATTTCCTTTGACATTTCAGTGATGAATAATTTTCCAAAGGAGCGGATTGTTAATGTTCACCATGTGATATTAATGCGAAAGACAAACATTCTCAAAGTGAAGCCTTACCACAGCGGCTCAGTTTACATGACAATACATGTGCTTTAGAATCTTTATTTATTATTATTCATGTGATGTGCTGCAGCTAAATCTTCTCATCTGGCTGAACAGGAGTCTTTTTTCCCCTGTTCAGAGTCAGGATTTAAACCAATATTGGAGCTGCAGGGATCCGAGTATTCCCTGAAAGGCTTTTCTCTTTTATCGCATTGACACTTTTCCATCTGCGTGGACACTTGTCTTTCATTTCTTTCATTTGCTCTCTTGTTGCTTTTTTTGGTCAGGGGCTGGTTAATGTGGGTTTATCCAACCATCCAGGCGATTAATGTGGGCTAATCCATGCATCTGTACCCATCCACCCAGAGACGATTCCTCCACCCATCATATCTGTCCATACGTGACAACATGAGGACACCTACTGCACACCTTGCATGTTGTCTTATAGTAAGGTAAGGTATTATCACTTAAGTTGACACAAGATACATGTATGTGTAATGATTTAGTTGCTTCTGAAAGAAAGGAGGAAAAGGTGTTTTCTTGAACTCCTCTCAGAGAGAAACTTGGATTTCATGGTGTTGATGATTTTTCTTCGCAATCACTCAAGGATAAACCACAAGAGACGTAGAGATTGTTCCCTTTTCAGATACACAACAATGGGGCTCCTTGGTTAAAAAAAAACACCCTGATCCCTTTTTTAACTTCTCCAACACTATACAACTTACTTAAAGAACGACAGAAGGAGCCTGGAAGCAGTTTAATGCATTCATTGAGACTTTGTGGTCTCACACAAGCTTGGCAAAAACAACTCTCTTTTGATCAGAGTAATTTCTTATTCAGTTGGAGGCAAAGTGCCCTTTCTATCGGTGACTACCAATATGGCTTCCCTTTAGAGAGTAAGAGAACATTTTAAAGGATTATGATCGCACAGATCTCACAGATTGTATGTAATGCTGCTCTCTAGATTACATTTTTTAATGAAGGAACTGGTAAGTTTTAAAAAAAGCAACTTTTAATATGCGTATATCTGTCATCCATCTTTATAAATGGCTAACCTAATTTTCCTAAAATAGATGAAAATAAAACTTGGCTAATGTTCAGAAACTTTGATCTTGTTTCGACAATTTCTTCTTTGTCGCTTTTATCTCAAACTTATGAATTCAACTTTTTATAAAACAAGATGGATATTAACTTAGTTTTCTTTATTTGGAAACCGTTACCTTATTTTCCCTTGTGAGGTCCAAAACAGTTTTTGTATTCAATCAGATTTTTGAATGTCAATAAGGGGGAGTGTTGGGTGACTCAATGGTTTTGTTAACTGCAAGTTTGTTTAAGTCAGGGAGCGGGTGGCCCAGTGGGAATCAGGCTCATGTCTGCCCCCTGGAAACCTGCTGTGACACCCATTAAACCCACAGATCAGCCATTAAACAGGTCTGTGGACCAGACAGGAAACTAGTGTTAGTCTGAAGCAAATAGTGTGCTTTTGATCAAGCTTGAGCCCGTCCTGCCTTGATTCACTTTAACATTTAAAATTACTCCACATTTTTTAAATAGTAGTAGTAAACCTCTGTTTGAGCATCTGTAACATTAGTTTGTTTTCTGTATATTTCCATTAATCAGTAAATACATATATCACTGATGATTGAACATTTGAGATAATTTAAACAAGTTGCACTTATATTATATAATGTTTTCACTCTTTCATCTGTATTGCTTTTCTATGCACTTTTACTACAAGAAAACAACCGGACTGTTGGTTATCATGTTGATCTCAGGATTTACGCACTTAGAGCGACACATAACCACTAAAACTGAGTGTAAATGATGACATAAATAAGTTGAGTTTTAGTATGAAATATTTATTCACAACATGTACAGAATCCATTTCCATCATTCACAAATATATAAATAAAAACAATAGCAAAACTTTTTACATGGCGTGTTGCGCACTGTGCAAACTAAACGTGTTTGCGTGCGTGTGGCCGATGAAGTTGAAATAGTGGTGATCGAGTCCCTGCACCGGTGACAAGTATCCACCGTGCTGCTGTGTGTGCGCAGAGAGAGGCACTGTTGGGTACGAGATGGCCGGGCTGCGGGTCGAGCTGTGCCAGGAGAAGTGTCCCGGGGGGCTCTGCTGGTACACGGAGTCGGACGGGCTGAGGCTCTGGTGCTCAGGGGAGGAGTGCAGCTGGCTCAGGAAGTCGCACGGTTCAGGCATCGAGGCGACAGAGCCGAATATAGGCTCGGTGATCACACGAGATTTAGACTGTAAGAAGGCGAGGATCCGTGCGTACTTGATGTCTTTTGTTTCAGCCCTGTCCTCTGTGGTCAGGTAGTGCACCAGGTTCTTCATACACTCGTGGTATCCGTAGTGGAAGTAGTTTGCAAACTCAGCCAGCAATTCACCTGGAATGAATCAGAGCGAGACAGCGATTACAACCCAGAAGATAGTCTGTGTGCGTAAAGTTGGACTTTCAACAATGTTTTACGAATATAAGTTAGATTAAACAGAAAATACTTAACTACACAAATAAGTTTGAGTTATATCTAATCAGCATTGTAAAAATGTTCACACAGTCGCATAACAGAAATGTGAGGTTGGGGTGCGTAAAGTGCCGGAGCTCCGTGAAAAGTGTCCTCACCTTTTTCTCTCCCACGGGGGAAATCTGCTGAGTGGAGCGCTCGGAGATACTGAACTGTCATTTCCAAGATTTCAGCTTTCTCCAGTTTTCCAGAGTTCTACCAAAAGTACAAAAAAATAAAGATTAGACGATGTTTTAAATCAAAAATGACATGCCCAGATTCTTCGTTGAACATAATATGCTCTTGCTAAAGTATCAATGTTGCAAAATATATAAAATAACCCTTACAAAACATATATATTAGACATTTGACAATACCTGTTTTGCTAGTGCCATTGGTACAGTTTTCCCCAGTTCGTTAAGGCAGCGGTTAATGCGGTCCCGTCTGCGTTTCTCAATGACTTTGTGAGAGATGGGAGTTTTCTGTAAAAAAAACAGGGAGAGAGACAACATGAGCATTCAAAGATAATATAAAACCTAACATTTACAGTTCATTCCTACCAAAAATATGAACAAATGAAGCATTGAGGAATATATGTGGGTGCAGCAACGAAGTAAATCTAGAGACTTAAGGTTGAGATATACACTATAACTCCCTCAGAGTGTTGCGCGTCGCGCGCTTTGCTGCTCCAGCGCGCGCAAAGGACATCTGCGCTCCAAGAACTTTCTTTATACCTATAACGTCCTATAGGAACTGTTTGAAAACTCTTCTAGCAAACAAATCAAAGTAAAAGTATTTGTAACCCAAATAATGACGCTATGATTCCCTGATATCCAGTATCTATCTGATAAGCTGTTTTTAGTCAGTTTTGCGCGTGTAGTTATCCTGTAATGTGTGCCACAGAGGTCGTTGGCGATATTTTCCCTCCACTAGTATCAAAATTACTCCAAGTTGTACTTGAACAATTTTTGATATAATTATAAAAATAAAAAATTCCATAAAAGGACCCAAAAGTGTTAAAAGTGCTGCCTCTCCAAAGTAGTTCAGTCCTCATAAAGCAGTGCGCACAAGGAGCGCGTACCTTTCTGTCTTTCATTTTAGATGCCATCGACGAAAGTCCAACCAACTTGTTAAAAATCAGTGCAGCTGGACGTTGGAGAGATGTGTTGCTCTGGATGAGATGAAGCAGACTGAGGTTCGAGGGGAATGATGGTCCTTATAAAGGGATCATCCAAGGGACTCTGGCATTCATGGTGTAAATTATTCCATGGGATTAGAGCCATGCATTTGGTAAATGTGTGCATTTAGGATCAGTTAAAGAAATAGTTAAAATCTAAAGCCATGGGCTAGCAGGGGGGCAAACCTGCTTTGTTAATCCACGTGGCTGTTCAAAAGACACGTGATTACTTTTGGAATATTATTTGCATAGTAACAACCCAGGCGGGAAATAAGAAGTGAGCGTTGGGATCGCCTGATCCGGCGGGGCGCACTGTGCGCACTGAAAACAAAGCCGGCGAAAAAAGAACCCCTCTTTCTTCCAACTCGCGTTTCTCACACGATCGCCTGTTTACAAATCCCAGCAAGCGATCTTAACTCTCATCCAAGCCCGGTCCGAGTTTTAAGGCCTGTCCAGTGTCATTAGAGTAATTAAGTAAGCCTTTAATAGGCTGTTCCGCCAAGTTCAGGGGAGATCTTTTGGAGACGGAGTCCCCCCGTTTGTTCTCGGCGTTTCTCACACGACTTGGTGACACGTCCATCTTTTATGAGAGATGGCAAGCTTTTTGTTTACATTCTTTATTTTGTTGGACTCCTCGGCAGGTGTGTGATTAGCCCTGGCACACGAGCGTCGTCTGCGTCAGGGCCAGCGTCTCCAGCAGCCTCTGGCACACGAGGGTTACCCACCACTGGAGACTCTTTGGAGAGGCTCAATTTGTATCCTATTATCCTATAAGAAAATGTCTATTCAGTCGAATGAATAGTTTCATTGGCCTAAATTTTAATAATGCTGTGAAAGAAAGGGAGAAATAAAGAAGAATGCAGCTGGTGTGAACGCGCATTATGCCCCGTCACCTGCAAGATGGGTAGCCTGGAGACCCCTATTCATTTGCCTAATTTCGGTCAACTTAACAAACTTTGGGAGAAATTATACTGCCATTGTTATGAAGGGTGAAGCTTTCTGATCGAATTAAGAGCATGTTTTGATCCGGTAAATGTCATTAGAAAGAAAGAAACAATCGCGTTTAAAGGGGCCTGGGTAATGCGCCAAGTGGAGACGCCAAAGCGCAAACTGCACAAAGGGTGCTAGTAAATGCCACAGGGGACTTTTGTACCCTCACATTGCTCAAGTTTTTCCCCCCAAACAAAGGGCATTATTTTATACTTGAATACATTTCATACAACAATTGGCTGTTTTCTTCAAACATATTTTCACAGCAAGGTTAACAACAGGTTTATTGTGTGCGCTCCTCACAGACTCAAACTGCTCTCATGCGCCAAAACACTGTGCTCCGATTCTTTTTGTCACTGAGAACGTTTTAATCTTGAAACTTTCACCGTGTTTGGATATATTTGATCCTGTGAGCGATGTAGAAGAATAAAAAGCAGCGGAGGTTGAGAAAGAAAGGCTCACAAGACATCTGAAGCGTTTGGAGAGTGTTCAGAGCACCATGGAGAGAAAAGCGCGAGCGAGCGGGACGGGGGCATAAAATCCAATTACTCAACTGTGCAGTTTTAACACTTTTTATGTGTTTATCCTTTGAAATATAGAGAGACTTGTGTGCTGTTGCTTTTTTTTCAAACCTGAATTAAATACTGGAAGTTTTAACAGACCGACTTTGTAACGCTAAGTGTTGCGTAAGAGGCCATGGCTATGCGTCAGGATTAACTCTACAACTTTTTTCCCCCTATTTGGTATCTTATTTTACAAAAAAACAATAATTTATTTATAATTAAAGGCTCCTCCGAGTAGTATATGTGTCTCCATTCACTGCATATCCACATTTTTTCATTTATTTTCTATCTTTTTTCTTCTTTTGGCAGCCACTAAGCTATTACATTATTTATATGATTTAATAAAACATCTTATTGTTTGGGAGTTCTTGTTATATTTATATTATTCATAATATAAATACATTAAAATATTTAATTATTGCTTACATTTGACGGATGTATTCAGAATGGTGCATGGATTGCACATTATAATTCTGTATCGATTTGTACGACATGTATTGATTGCATTGGACTTATGGACACAGGTACAGTATAAGTATTAAAACATTTAATAACATACTGAATCACTTTTTTACACTTGGCTTTAATAAAAGGTTACAATAATTTATATGATGCAAAGAGATCACAGCTTATACCCACACAACCAATATGATGTACCAGGAAGAAATTAAGCTTTAGGGGGCTGTGATATGAGTATATATATAAACCGTTCTTTCTCCTGCACATGTATCTGCTGTCTAAGCTTCTGCATACAACTTGGATATTAATACCTTTTACAGTCGTATTTTGTATGTTTGATGCCTTCACTCTCAGACATAGCTGCACATTTAGCTTGAATGGTCCTTGTACCTGATGTCACTTAGGTATTTTGTGCTTATGGTTATATTGAAAATATCCTGAAATCAATATAGGAGCACATTAACCTAATTGCTTATATATTTTACTTGTGTAAATAGCTGCAGCATTTGGTTTTGCTCAACCAAACACAACATCCATATAAAATAACACTTTTATACTGTGTATGAAAAAATTTCTCTGCTCAGGGATTTTGTGGTGACTAAATTGCTCGTGTAGTTCCGGAAGTATAACAGCACCTGCCACTTACAGGGGAAAATAAACAAGCCCCTAATTTGTGACAGCAGCTCAGAGTGTGTCAGTGTGTGTGTGATTTCGTGTGTGTGTGTTTGTGTTCGCCTGTGTGTTGTCAGGCGCTGCGCTCTGACCCGTGGTGACCTCTGAGGGTCCCGGACACAATCCTTTGGTTCGCTGCGCCACCCTCCGCCTGAACCGCAGCAGTTCACACGGTCCCATTGAGCCTGCAGCTGAGTGCTTCAGCTGCCACAGAACCCTTTGAAAAACAAATACAGCAGCAACACAGGCTGAAGATTTACTCAGGAAAGCTTGTTAATATGGAGGTTACAGTTTATTTCATAGCTCTCACAAAAAAAAAGTCTAGAAATATATCAGAAATGATCATGCATCACTATAAACTAAATTTAGCATTTACAGGAACATCACATTGATTTGGTATCTTGGGAGCATCTTGATTTACATAAATATTAATTACAACTTAAAACTGTTTTACCACCTACTCCTGAGGTTTAGTGATGCTTTTTAAGCATTAAGAATGTATGTGTAGTAAAAGCTGTAGTACCCTCTTTTTAAAGTGTAAAACAGCTCCCTCTTGTGGTACATTTGGGAATTTTCAATGACCCAAGTCTGGGAGAGATTTACAGATGAGCAGCTTCACAGAGTTATAGTTTATAAAAACGGACTTTACAAACAGTTATCTGCTTGAAAACCTATAAACTATAATACATATATTAATACTTTTACAGGATATTCACGCAGATATTAGATCATACATCTGAGGTCTCGGAAACAATAGCATTTGTCACACATTTTAGGATCTTTTTTGGAGAATATGATTTTTGTGGCTTTGGGTAAAGGTTATAGCCCACAATAATATATGTCTAGATCAATATCAGACTGATATACAAGACAACAAGATTTAGTCAATGTTTTTTCTGACAAATAGAAAAATAAAGCAGGGATTAATGTTCCTATAATCATTAAATTACTTGGAATACAATATGTTTTACCTCTTCTCATGAAATGATTGTGAAAATGTGATTAATTCTTGATAAATGTTATATCTTCTCAAAGCCTTATTGATCAATCTCTTCCACACATATCAGAGTGAACATTAAATAGGAATACAAATAGGAATTGGTCAGAAAACAAACTGATCCCAACTTTATGGGCAACATTTAGGTTTAAAACAGGGTTGTGTGGAGCAGAAATGTGCACTTTAGGACAGCAGTGTATTTTCTAATTGGATATTTATAATCATAGAAGATAGATAGAAATACTAAGGCCAAAGAGAAAAAGTGGCACTCTTTTTATTTATTTTATTCGAAGTTCAGTTATTTTATTCGAAGTTCAGTTTTTTCAAATGCAGTAGAGTAAAAAGTACAATACCTCCAGTTGTACGGGAAGAGTAGCAATACATTATATAAACTCAAGAAGTATCTCAAACGTATTCCTGTATATGTTACAACTTGAGTGAATGTACTTTACTCTTCTTTTTATTTGGGTTATTGATGATGTGTTCGTATTCTTTTGCTTGTTGATTAGCTATATAAGTCTCCGCAGCTTTATACATCACCAGTCATTTGAACTGCTATAATGTGACTGATGCTATTAATAGTTTTCAAGTTAGAGAAGATGAAAATATATGTAAGTAACTTTCTGTTTACTCTAAGATCTTTAACTTGAGTATATTTCCCTGCAAAATAATGTAAAACTACAAGTCTTTTTTAACTTAAAATTCATACAGCAGGATGTGATGAAAGTATTACAAGTTTAAGTAATTATCTTGCCAAAAAAAAGCCTGTGTGACTGATATTCTTTTATGTTGTATTGCTGTTATTATGAATAGTGATGAATCTGCATGTTAATATAATTGTGCTATTATAAGTGGTTGATTAAGCAGGGTTGAGCTCCTTTATATACAGGCAGCACTGGCGGATAATACATTTACTGTCAGAATCAGAGTCGGTTTTATTAGCAGGTAGATTTACACATACGAGGAATTTGCTTTGGTATACATTTTGCATACAGAGATACAGAAAGAAGAATACAATTGGCTGTTTTCTTCGAACATATTTTCACAGTAAGGTTAACAACAGGTTTATTGTGTGCGCTCCTCACAGACTCAAACTGCTCTCATCCGCCAAAACACTGTGCTCCGATCAATTATGTGGGGAACTGAGTACAGTAAAATATAATAAAATATGACAATATGTACTATATTCAAAGTGGAGAGTTATGCTGATTTTAAAACAGGGTTGTGTGGAGCAGACATTTGCACTTTAGTCCTGGACTTAAATGTGAGTAGCTTGTATGTTTTATTACTCCATATTCTGGTAATCTACAACATTT